CCATGCTGCCACTCAAAAGTCTCCAGGACCCCCTGAGGGAGGGGAGGGGGGGGTGAATTGGGACCCCCTGGAGGTGGATTTGGGTTTGTTACAGAGGGGCTCACAGAGACTGGGAGCGTTTAAATAGAGGGGGGGAAATGAGGAGGGCTCCCTGCCCCCCAGCTGGGGGGTGAGGAGTGGGCGCAGCTGAGCCCCCATGCTTGGTGGTGGGATGGGATAATGGTTTGGGAGAATGGAATGGGGTAACGGGATGGGGTAATAGTTTAGGGTAACGGGATGGGGTAATGGTGTGGGGTAACAGTTTGGGATAATGGTTTGGGGTAACGGGATGGGATAATGGGATGGGATAATGGTTTGGGGTAATGGGATGGGATAATGGGATGGGATAATGGTTTAGGATAATGGTGTGGGATAACAGTTTGGGATAATGGTTTGGGTAATGGTTTGGGATAACAGGATGGGGTAACAGGATGGGATAATGGGATGGGGTAACAGGATGATATAATGGGATGGGGTAACAGGATAGGATAATGGTTTGGGGTAACAGGATAGGATAATGGTTTGGGATAACGGGATGGGATAATGGTTTGGGATAACGGTTTGGGTCACAGGGATCGACCTGGTTGACATGGGCAACGATTTCATGATGGTGGACGGTGAGGACACGGCCAGGAAGGCCTGGCAGCTGCAGCAGAAAATCCGCGCGTACCAGGAGAGCTTCACCGTGTTGGAGAAGGTGGGATCGGATTGGGATTGAGGTAATGGGATGGGATGGTGGGATGGGAAGGGGGCAGTGGGGTGGGGGGGAGGGATGGGATAACAGGATGGGATAATGGTTTGGGATAATGGATGGGATAACGGGATGGGACAATGGTTTGGGATAATGGTTTGGGGTAACGGGATGGGATAATGGGATGGGATAATGGTTTGGGATAACAGGATGGGGTAGCGGGATGGGATAACAGGATGGGATAACGGGATGGGATAATGGTTTGGGGTAACGGGGTGGGGTAACAGGGTGGGGCAATGGGATGGGATAATGGTTTGGGGTAATGGGATGGGATAATGGAATGGGATAACGGGATGGGATAATAGTTTGGGATAACAGGATGAGGTAATGGGATGGGATAATGGGATGGGGTAACGGGATGGGAAAATGGTTTGGGGTAATGGGATGGGATAACGGGATGGGGTAATGGGATGGGATAAGGGAATGGGATAACGGGATAGGATAATGGTTTGGGTAACAGTTTGGGATAACAGGATGGGGTAACGGGATGGGATAATAGTTTGGGATAATGGATGGGGTAACGGGATGGGATAACGGGATGGGATAATGGGATGGGATAATGGTTTGGGGTAATGGGATGGGATAATGGGATGGAATTAGGAACGGGACCTTTTGTTCCCTGCTGCCCCGCAGTGTCCCAAACCTGTGATCGTGGCTGTGCACGGCGCCTGCATTGGCGGAGGTGAGCAGGACTTTGTGAGGGGTCTTGGGGGTTGAAGAGGGGAGGGGGGGCTCACGGTGGGCCCCTCTCACTGACACGGGGGTCCTCTGTGCAGGTGTCGACCTCGTGTGTGCCTGTGACATCCGCTACTGCAGCCAGGACGCCTGGTTCCAGGTGAAGGTAAGCAGGGGGACCTCAGGTGGCCCTGGGTGCCATCGGGCGTCCCCGCATCCCTTTGGCCACCCCTGGGGACCCTGCGTTCTTAAATCTCCCCGTGGTTCCTTTGGGGTCTCCATGTTCCCCTTTTGGATGCCCCCCCCAGTTTCAGGGACGTCCCCGCTGCCTCTCAGAGTTGTGACACTTGGGGGGTGGATGGGATGATGGAGTTGGCATCTTGGAGGTCTGTTCCAACCTGAAGACATCTCTGGTTGTCCCATGGCCACTTCAGTGTGTCTTCCTTCATGTCCTCACGTTCCCACGCCACTTCCCATGTCCCCAAACATCCCCAGTGTCCCCAAACGTCCCCCCATGTCCCCCCCCCCGTGCCACAGGAGGTGGACATCGGGCTGGCGGCCGACGTGGGCACCCTGCAGCGTCTCCCCAAGATCGTGGGCAGCCAAAGGTGGGTGACGCCGGGTTGGGGGGCGGGGGGGGGAACAGGACGTGGTGGGACACAAACAAGGACCCCACCTCACCCTCCCCCCACCCCCCCATCCCTCAGCCTTGTCAACGAGTTGGCCTTCACCGCTCGCAAGATGATGGCCCCCGAGGCGCAGAGCTGCGGTTTGGTGAGGTGAGCAGCACCCAGGGGTGCCACCCCCACCTCTCCCCCCGTGTTCCCAAAGCGGAGACCCCCATCTCCGCTCTGCCCCTTTTCTTCCTTTCCCCCCCTGCAGCCGTGTTTTCCCAGATAAGGCTGCGTTGCTGCAGGGAGCCCTGGATTTGGCCGCCTCCATCGCAGCCCGCAGCCCCGTGGCCGTGCAGGGCACCAAGGTGAACTTGTTGTACTCACGGGATCACCCGGTGCCTGACAGCCTGCGCTTCATGGTGAGCATCTCCC